GGTCAGGGCTCCCTTTACCTTTAAATCAACAACACTGAGGGTGGGGAACTCTCTTCTGCTCAAAGGCTAAATTCTCTGCCTCTGGCCAGTGGTGAAAAGGGCCAAAGCGGTAACCAAAATTAGTTTCTACGCATACATGCACAAATACTTCTTCATCCTTCCTTTAGACAAGTGAGAGACAGGATCAGAGTTCACAGATACATTTCAGCTGGGCAAAGGCCCTCAAGGGGGGTGTGATAGCCGGTGAAGGGAGAGGTGGCCTTGGGACAAGGTGGCGTGGCTTTCAGAGCATTCTGGGGGCCGAAAGGAAAGGCCCGGAGGGCCACATTTGACTCCCAGGCCTGAGATGCCCCACCCCTGCGCTACAAGACGATAGTGTGAATTTGTACGTGTTAAGCAAAGCAGAACCCCCTCGGGCCCTTTAGCTTAGGCAATGATTCAAACGCTTGCCTGTTTATCCCAACTAATGAGGACTATCAGATCCACTTATGATAAATGCACGTTGGCAACGCTTCCTGGAAGAGGCATGCCAGGGAGGGAACTCCCTTAAAAAAACACAGTGGCAGCCGAGGAGGATTAACAGGAGAACGTTTGTTTCCAGTGCCAGGCTGCAACGCAGAAATGAAACTGATTACCGAGATAGTGCTTGGCTCCTCCCCCTGCCAAACAAAAATCCAGCTACCGGATGAGTATCAGGTATGACTGAGACAGAAATGGGATCCGGTCTGCGTTTAAAGGGGAACCTACCTAATTCGAAAAACAACACACAACCCAAAGCGGAACCCTCCTTTGAGATTTCTGCGGCTTCGAATTTTGCAATGCAGTTCTGCAGCCCGGTAATAATAATAATAATAATAATAATAATAATTTATTATTTATACCCCGCCCATCTGGCTGTGTTTCCCCAGACACTCTGGGAGGCTTCCAATAAAACACTAAAATACAATAACCTATTAAACATTAAAAGCTTCCCTAAACAGGGCTGCCTTCAGATGTCTTCTAAAAGTCAGATAGTTGCTTATTTCCTTGATATCTGGTGGGAGGGCGTTCCACAGGGCGGGCGCCACTACTGAGAAGGCCCTCTGCCTGGTTCCCTGTAACTTGGCTTCTCGCAGTGAGGGAACCGCCAGAAGGCCCTCGGTGCTGGATCTCAGTGTCCGTGTAGAATGATGGGGGTGGAGACGCTCCTTCAGGTATACTGAACCGAGGCTGTTTAGGGCTTTAAAAGTCAGCACCAACACTTTGAATTGTGCTCAGAAACATACTGGGAGCCAGTGTAGGTCTTTCAAGACCGGTAAGAATATGAGACGAGCCAGGTCAATGGCCCACCTAGTCCAGCATCCTATTCCCACAGCGGCCGTTCAGATGCCAGTAGGAAACTTGCAAGCAGGACCCAGACACAAGAGCACTCTCCCTGCAGTTTCCAGCATTTGGGTGCCTGGCTGCCTATGATTGTGGAGGCAGAACACATTGAAATTATTCGTGACAACATGCTGATTCTGGTGCTATGAATAGGCAGAATAAGCAATATGTAGGAAAATGCACCTACTAGGGTAAAGTGTGGGACACAGGTGGCGCTGTGGGTTAAACCACAGAGCCTAGGACTTGCTGATCAGAAAGTCGGTGGTTTGAATCCCTGCGACGGGGTGAGCTCCCGTTGCTCGGTCCCAGCTCCTGCCAACCTAGCAGTTCGAAAGCACGTCAAGTGCAAGTAGATAAATAGGTACCGCTCCAGCGGGAAGGTAAATGGCGTTTCCGTGCACTGCTCTGGTTCGCCAGAAGCGGCTTAGTCATGCTGGCCACATGACCTGGATGCTGTACGCCGGCTCCCTCAGCCAGTAAAGCGAGATGAGCGCCGCAACCCCAGAGTCAGCCACGACTGGACCTAACAGTCTTTACCTTTAGGGTAAAGTGTGACTTAAAAATGTGTATGTTACTGAATATAACACGCATTATATTAAGCAAAACTCTTTTGCCCAGAGTGTATATTAGGCCAAAAACGTACAGAAACATGTATAATTTCTCTGTGCTTATCCTTTCAAGTTTGCAGTATTGCAATGCAGTCGTCCAACCAAAACCTATGTGCAAAAATGTTTTAGGGGAAAGTATGCATTAAAAAAGAAAGAAAAAACCCACCTAGATTAATGAAGGCAAAAATGTGTTCTATCGTGGTAAAGGTAAAGGGACCCCTGCCCATTAGGTCCAGTCGTGGCCAGCTCTGTGATTGCGGCACTCGTCTTGCTTTATTAGTGGAGGGAGCCGGCGTACAGCTTCCAGGTCAGTACAGCTCACCCAGTCATGGGGATTTGAACCGCCGACCTTCTGATGGGTAAGTCCTAGGTTCTGTGGTTTAACCCACAGCGCTATCATGGTAGTCGTTTACAAATATTGCGCAGCAAAAAAAGGTGTACATTCTGAGAAACACACTAAAATGGTGGCAAATTTTATGAGGGTGTTCAAAAGAAAGGAATAATCCACAGACAGATGTGGAAATGCGAGGACCGGGATTTAAGGCTGGGGAAATGAGAAACTGAAAGAAGCCAAAATTGCCAGGGTCACCCAGCCCTCATGGCTGAAAGCTTCTACATTGAGAAGAAGGTTTTATTTTTGTCTCCCAAGCCCCTTGCTACTCTGCAGCTCTGCGATCCTCAATAAACAAGGCCTGATAATTGGGAACTCCGAATCCAGGGTGAAATCCAGAGAGGTGAAAACTTCTGGAAGTCTCCCTGCCCTTGGAATGACTTGCATACCTCCGTGGGGCTAAACCCCACATTTGACGAACAGAGATGGATGGAGATTCACGCTCTGCTGAACGGAGACTTGTACCGTCATCCAAAAATGCGGGGAAAGGGAAGGAGACAGCGAGAGGCCGGCAACCAGATCCACCCACCTCGGCTTAATGGAGGCAGTTGCCGCGTTTGAAATGTGACGCTTTCTCTCCAGTGCTTACTTTACAGTTATCCGCCTTATTTGTACAGAAACACTTTCCCTGGCTTTGATCTTCCTTACAAAACCCTGCCACGGAAAGGCATACAAGCTCTCTGCTCTCTGCTTCGCGGGCAGACTTGCCACCTGTCAAGGGCGGGCCTGGTTTCTCCTCAAGCGTGAAAACGCGGAGGCGGGAGAAAGTCTGCGCAATGGAGAACGTCTCGAATACTATCAAATATAAAGCTCTTTAAAAAAAAAAAATCCTTGGAGTGAGACCACGTCAGTCAAATTACCCAGGGTTTCTCTTGACTGAGTACAGCTTTTTAGCCTAGAAACAAAGCCGAAAAAAACCCCTCTTTCGGCAAGGCGGGCTCTACTATAAGGCACCTGCCTCAGGCGGCAGATTCTTGAGGGTGGCAGTCAGCAGGAAAGATGTCGGAGAAGTGAAAATTGCTGATTCACCTCATGCCTAGAATGGAAACCAATCCAGCTAATACAATCAGTTTTACAAGTGCCACACAAAAATACCCACAATTGCCTCTGTAAGAACTCTATCATTTAATGTGGCAGCAATGGCACTATGGAACTTCCTGCCTATAGATATCAGCCAGGATCCTTCACTATATTCTTTTCGCCGCCTGTGAAACACATTCTTATTTAGACAAGTGGCACTGTGGGTTAAACCACAGACTTACCGATCAGAAGGTTGGTGGCTTGAATCCCCGTGACAGGGTGAGCTCCTGTTTGGTCCCTGCTCCTGCCAACCTAGCAGTTCGAAAGCACTTCAAAGTGCAAGTAGATAAATAGGTACCGCTCCGGCGGGAAGGTAAACGGCGTTTCCATGCCCTGCTCTGGTTCGCCAGAAGCGGTTTAGTCATGCTGGCCACATCATCCAGAAGCTGTACGCCGGCTCCCTCGGCCAATAAAGCGAGATGAGCGCCGCAACCCCCGAGTCGGCCACGACTGGACCTAATGGTCAGGGGTCCCTTTACCTTTTACCCAGATGTTATGGGACGCTGGTGGCGCTGTGGTCTAAACCACAGAGCCTAGGGCTTGCCGATCAGAAGGTCAGCGGTTCAAATCCCCACAATGGGGTGAGCTCCCGTTGCTCGGTCCCTGCTCCTGCCAACCTAGCAGTTCCAAAGCATGCCCAAAAGTGCAAGTAGATAAATAGGTACCGCTCCGGCGGGAAGGTAAACGGCGTTTCCATGCACTACTCTGGTTCGCCAGAAGCGGCTTAGTCATGCTGGCCACCTGACCCAAAAGCTGTACGCCGGCTCCCTCGGCCAATAAAGCGAGATGAGCGCCGCAACCCCAGAGTCGTCCGCGACTGGACCTAACGGTCAGGGGTCCCTTTACCTTTACCTTTTACCCAGATGTTTAGAAAGTTTGTAGGGGTTCTAATTTGTTTTAGTTTATTTTACTGCAGTTTAACCTTCTGTATGTTTTCAAATTAACGGTTTTAAATCTTTTAGGGATTATTTCATGGTTTTTATCGTTTTTGTAAACCGCTTTGAGGTTTTTCTACAAGCAAGCAGGGTATAAATTTTATAAAACAAATGGACAAATATTCGCTGTTGTTGTAGCCCACAACTGATACATTAACGCTTATCGATAATTCTATTGTTTTATTCTTTTGGTAAACCACTTTGAGGTTTTCTTTTTAACAATCAGTCTATAACATGTTTGAAATAAATACAAAACTTACACATTTAACTTAAAATGTATGTACTGGTGACTCTTACCTTCAGATTGTGTTCTGATGATCGCAGGGTGGTGGCTACTGTTAGTCTTATGGATACACTATTTTTATTGTCTTTTTAAAGTTAGAGTTGCAAATTTTAATTTTTTTTAAAAAAGAACTCAAGGAAATGGAGGGAAGGAGCTTGTAGCCAATGCTGGTCCTACTCAGAGTAGACCTATTGACCATAAATAGACATGCTTAACTGGGATCCACTAAATCCCAATGGGTCTACTCTGAACGCAGCAGGATCCAACCTGTTCGTCTTGAGATATCGACAATTAGAAGTGGGGTGGGGGTGGGGAGCCAGCCAGGGAAGATGTTGATGTAATTACTTGAGCAGCCATAGAAACCTTGAGTCTTTCTGTCCGCCAAACGTCAAGCTGCTAATTATGTCTCCATTGTGCCACTCTGAGTCAATATTGTCAGCTATTCTTAGGTCTAATCCCCTAACATCGAGGTTTGATGGGGCGCGCGAGACATCCCCTTCAGCGCCTTTCTCGAAACTCGTGTCGCTGGGTTTTGCCGCGGAGAACACGCAAACTACAAAGGGCCGGGCCATGTTGTGGTATTAGGCATCCAACAGAACAGCTTTTAATCTCGTGTACACCTTAAGAAAACATCGGCTCAGCCTACCGGTGCTGTGCTAGACGCGGATGGGACCCTGCATGTTGGGGAACAAAAGAACATGAGCTCCTCTCTGATGAGTCTGACAGGGAACCCTTAAGACATGTCAGGGAGACGGCAGAACAGAGCTACATTAGGGAAGAAGCAGCTGTGATACACACACACACACACACACACACACAGCAATGAGGAGCTGGCATAAATGCATATCCTTCGACTCCCTCCGGTCACCAGGTTTTCCAGCAGGTGGCTGTAAGGGTTCTTCCATACCCCACGATGGGGAAGGAAATCAATTCAGTTCATCCTTTCCAAAAACAATGCACAAATTTATTATTATTATTAGAGTGGCACCTCGGAAGTCAAACGGAATCCGTTCCAGAAGTCCGTTTGACTTCCAGAACGTTCGGAAACCAAGGCACGGGTTCCGATTGGCTGCAGGAAGCTCCTGCAGCCAATCGGAACCTGCGTCGGACGTTCCGAGTTCCAAATGAACGTTTGCAAACCGGAACACTCACTTCCAGGTTTGCGGCTTTCGGGAGCCAAAAGGTTCAACTCGCAAGGCGTTTGGGATCCAAGGTACAACTGTATTATTATTATTATTATTATTATTATTATTATTATTATTTCTACCCGGCCTCTCCAGCTGAGTTTCCCCAGCCACTCTGGGTGGCTTACAGAACATTTAAAAATGGTAAAACATAAGGCATTAAAAAAATTCCTGATACAGGGCTGTCTTCAGATGTCTTCTAAAAGTCAGATAGTTGCTTATTTCCTTGACATCTGGTGGGAGGGCGTTCCACAGGGAGGGTGCCACTACCAAGAAGGCCCTCTGCCTGGTTCCCTGTAACCTCGCAGTGAGGGAACCTCCAGGAGGCCCTTGGAGCTGGACGTCCGTGTCCGGGCTGAACAATGGGAGTGGAGACGCTCCTTCAGGTATATGGGGCCGAGGCCGTTTAAGGCTTTAAAGGTCAGCACCAACACTTTGAATTGTGCTCGAAATGTAGGTGTCCGCCAAAATCCGCACTGCTGTGGATATTGCAATGTACTTCTACAGCCAAGTAATATCTGCAGAAAGGCATAGGAAGTGTGCACAAACATGCATGTATCGGTTTGATAAAGACATAGAAATGCATTGTGCTTTTGTCCGCCTCATGATAGTATTGTTCCAAATGCCGTGTGTCACCCTCACGATATGCCAAGCGACAGCGAGAGTTCCAGTCACTCAACCAGGGCCTGTGTTCCTTTGGAGAACTGAGACATAGTGGAGATTGTCGTAGCTTTAAGAAATAATGGGTTATTCACCTGTTCACGGAGGGACGCGGGTGGCGCTGTGGGTTAAACCACAGAGCCTAGGACTTGCCGATCAGAAGGTCGGTGATTTGAATCCCTGCGACGGGGTGAGCTCCCGTTGCTCGGTCCCTGCTCCTGCCAACCTAGCAGTTCGAAAGCACGCCAGTGCAAGTAGATAAATAGGTACCGCTCCGGCAGGAAGGTAAACGGTGTTTCCGTGCGCTGCTCTGGTTCGCCAGAAGCGGCTTAGTCATGCTGGCCACATGACCCGGAAGCTGTACGCCGGCTCCCTCGGCCAATAAAGCGAGATGAGCGCCGCAACCCCAGAGTCGGCCACGACTGGACCTAATGGTCAGGGGTCCCTTTACCTTTACACCTATTTACACCTTCAGTCTGCATCTAGGGAGTCAGTTCTTACAGCATGGCTATTTCAAGAGGGGCTTGTCCCTCACAGCAGTGCTGCAGCCCTGGAGTCCAAGGGTCTGGAATGCTTTCTAAAGACACTGTGTCCATCAGCTGTCCCCGCTCTGGTACTGCTTCTTCCTCCTCTCCCATTATTTCCCAGCTTTTCCCCTCATCTGCCTTTGAGCTGTGACCTCCCTCAACCCCCTGTTGTAATTCTGAACTGTCTCCTCCTTCTTCTCTGGACGGGTCAGGCTGTGGAGGGGGTCTCCATCCATTCCTCCTTTGCCCAGTCCCTGACAAGGCCACATTTGGCCTGAGGCTCTCTATCCCTGGACCAAACCATAGTAAATGCTTCACTGCCCATTCGAGTATTTGGCAATATACCGTATTTTTCGCTCCATAAGACGCACCTAGTTTTTAGAGGAGGAAAGGAGGAAAGCCCGGTTTTTTGAGGGATCCGCTCAAAGTTTTGCAGCTTCTTTTGCAAAGGGGAAAAGCCCCTTTTTTTGAGGATCAGCTCAAAGTTGTTGAGCTTACTTTGCAAAGGGGGAAAATCCTGTTTTTATGGGGTTCAACTCACAGTTCTGCAGCTTCTTTAGGAAAGGAAAGGGAGTTGTTTCTACAGTTTCCAGACAGATAATCTACTGTATTTTTTGCTCTATAAGACTCACTTTTTCCCTCTTAAAAAGTAAGGGGAAATGTGTGTGCGTCTTATGGAGCGAATGCAGGCTGCGCAGCTATCCCAGAAGCCAGAACAGCAAGAGGGATCACTGCTTTCACTGTGCAGTGATCCCTCTTGCTGTTCTGGCTTCTGAGATTCAGAATATTTTTTCCCTTGTTTTCCTCCTCCAAAAACTAGGTGCGTTTTATGGTCTGGTGCGTCTTATAGAGCGAGAAATACGGTAATCGGCCAGTCACATGTCACTGGGGAAACAAACAGCCTCCGTCTGCAGAACATTCAGCGATGGAGGCCTGGGCCGGAAAGGGAGCCAGCGATCGACCACACCTTCACTTCATAAGACGCACAGACATTTCCCCTTACTTTTTAGGAGGAAAAAAGTGTGTCTTATGGAGCGAAAAATACAGTACATCACAAGCTCCAGACCATGAATGGGGAATCCGTGGCTCTCCAGACACTGTTGAACTACAGCTCCCCTCATCCCCAGCCGGCGTGGCGAATGGCCAGGGATGATGGAAACTGAAGCCTAGCAGCAGCGAAAGAGCCAGAGCTTTCCTAGCCCTGTCCCAAACAAACGTACAGTGGTGGTTGTTGTTGTTTAGTCGTTTAGTCGTGTCCGACTCTTTGTGACCCCATGGACCAGAGCACACCAGGCACTCCTGTCTTCCACTGCCTCCCGCAGTTTGGTCAAACTCATGCTGGTAGCTTCGAGAACACTATCCAACCATCTCGTCCTCTGTCGTCCCCTTCTCCTTGTGCCCTCCATCTTTCCCAACATCAGGGTCTTTTCCAGGGAGTCTTCTCTTCTCAGGAGCTGGCCAAAGTATTGGAGCCTCAGCTTCATGATCTGTCCTTCCAGTGAGCACTCAGGGCTGATTTCCTTAAGAATGGATAGGTTTGTTCTTCTTGCAGTCCATGGGACTCTCAAGAGTCTCCTCCAGCACCATAATTCAAAAAACAGCAGCGAAAGAGCCAGGGCTTCCCCAGCCCTGTCCCAAACAAACGTACAGTGGTACCTCAGGTTAAGTACTTAATTCATTCCGGAGGTCCGTTCTTAACCTGAAACTGTTCTTTACCTGAAGCACCACTTTAGCTAATGGGGCCTCCCACTGCTGCCGCACCGCAATTTCTGTTCTCATCCTGAAGCAAAGTTCTTAACCCGAGGTACTATTACTGGGTTAGCGGAGTCTGTAACCTGAAGCACATGTAACCCAAGGTACCACTGTATTCCCTATCCATGGTTTCAAGATCCTTGGTTGGGGCATAAAACGTTTTATTGGCTCGAACCAGAATGGTTGGGCCAGGTTTCCTCTTTCATTTCCCTGCCTTCATTGTCAATCAGGATCCTCGCTGTGGGGATGTTGTTGTTTTGCGCATGCAAAGAGGGCCGTCGGAATCCCACAGGCGCTGCCAGGCCCGCTTCCGACAGACAAGATCCAGCACATGCCAGCATCTGTCGGTCTCCGTGTGGAAAATTAAACCTCATTCCCGAGAGGGCTGGCTGGGACGGAGGTTGCAGGAGGCAGTTTTCCAGAATTTGATTGCATCAGTCGGAATTGAGAGAGGGTGGGGGAGATCTTCCCTCGGGGAGGAGTGGAAAGGGAGACTGGTCTTGTTCAAACAGGGCGCTCCGTATTGTTCACTGGGTAGATACAGGTAGATTGCATCTTGCCAAAACCAGCATCCAGGAGGAAAACGCCTGTTTCAAGGAAAGGTCTCTCAGCAGTTCCTTCTGTGAGCCCAGTGTGCTTGGATCTGACAGAAAAGCTCTTCTGTCAAAGCATTTGAGGGCCAAAGTGGTCCTCTAGACCTCTCTATGTGGCCCTTGGGACTTCTCCCACACCCCCTCTATAAAACTGATGCTTGCTCTTCTGCTCACTTTCGCCTCTGGCCCTGTCCTCCAATGGCACGTGGCCCTCAGAAGGCTGGCCATATGAGAATTTGGCCCTCGGGCTGAACAGAGCAGAGGCAACAGGCCGGGGGAATTCCTGGCTACTGCTTCTCGTGTCAGGTGGCTTCGGTGAAATCGTGGCCTGATCCATAGCTGTCAACTTTTCCCTTTTGTTGCAAGGAATCCTATTCGGAATAAGGGAATTTCCCTTAAAAAAAGGGAAAAGTTGACAGCTATGGCCTGATCCCCAGTGGCAAGGAGTTCCAGGGGCACATCTGCTCTGGCAGAACTTTGCCCCAGCGCCTCAGGGGGTTCACGAAGTGCCTGTTGATGTTCCACTTGCACAAACATCCAGGAGAGTGTTGCTTCTGATGAAACCTCAGTTGACTTTCTGTTAACGTTTGAATTGGTCTTGTTAAGTGATATATTTAAAATATATATATATAATAAGAAAAATAGGTGTTGCCAACAGGGGTAAAGCAGTCCAGCCTCAGCCTTGAAAGCGGCTCTTCCTAATGACTCTTGTTAATGTATTTGCTCCGAAGGGAGAAAGGAAGTGTATCTTTTCCCCCTTCCAACCTCACGCTAAGGGAAACTGCGTAACCACAGCTGAGAATGTCAGGAAACCTAGGCCTTTTCCTTAGAGAGGTTGGTAATAATTCCCGTATGC